CCCCAAAACCCCAAAACCCCAAAACCCCAAAACCCCTGCAATTCAATAACTACTATGAAGAAGAAATAAATTATCTAGGTAAAAATATTGTAATTAGGTAAATTCATCATTCTTCTAGTTGCTCATCTGGCTTCATGGCTGGGAAGAGGAGTACTTCCTTGATGCTGTTGGTGTCACTCATAAGCATGGTGAGTCTATCAATACCGATACCCCAACCTCCAGTTGGTGGTAGACCGAATTCAAGGGCGGTAACAAAGTTAGCATCGATTGCTTGAGCCTCGTCATCACCAAGTTCCTTTGCCTTTGCTTGTTCTGAGAAAAAGTCAAGTTGTACCTTAGGGTCGTTAAGCTCGGTGTAAGCGTTGACGATTTCGTGATAGTTGATGAAGAGTTCGAATCTCTCTGAGAGACCGGCCTCTGATCTGTGCCATTTAGCAAGTGGGGACATAATTTATGGAGTGTCAGTAATGAAGGTTGGGTTCTTGCAGTTGACCTCAAGGAAATGACCAACAAGTTTATCGATAAGTCTGGCGACAGTTCTGGGCTCTCCGCACTTAACTTTGTGTTCAGCTGCGAGCTTGTCGAAGAATTCTCTTGCCTCGTCAGTGTGAAGAGTATCAGCAGCTGGAAGCTTAACTCCAACAGCTTCCTCAAGACCCTTCATCATTGGGATTCTTCTGAAAGGTGGGGTGAAATCAAGTTCGATGACGTTATCTTTTTCTTCGATTCCTTTGGGGTGATATTAGAATTTGTAAGAGCCGTGAATCTTAAGAGCCATTTGTGAGAGCATCTTTTCAGTTAAATCCATGAGATCGTGATAGTCAGCGTAAGCCCAATAGAATTCGCAAGTGGTGAACTCAGGGTTGTGAGTAAGATCAATACCCTCGTTTCTGAATTGCTTTCCAATTTCGAATACTCTGTCAATACCTCCGACAATGAGCATTTTAAGGTAAAGTTCAGGGGCGATTCTCATGAATAATTTCATGTTCAAGTCATTGTGGAAGGTCTCGAAAGGCCTAGCAGTGGCACCACCTGGGATCATATTCATCATTGGAGTTTCAACCTCTAGAAAGTCCAATTCGAGTAGGAAGTTTCTAATGAAGTTGATGACTTCATTTCTAACTCTGAATGTTTTCTTTGTTCTTGGGTTTGTGAGTAGATCGAGATATCTTTGTCTGAACCTGGTGTCCTTGGTAAGTCCCTTGGTGTCAATAGTATGTTGAGATGGGAGTTAGTGGAGACAGTAAGACAAACTGGTAATTAAAGTTGGTCTGACGGATAGTTCTCCAGTCTTGGTTCTTCCTGGCTGACCCTCAACTCCAATAATATCTCCTCTCTTGATTCTGGCTAATAGAGTATCGAACTCACCAGTGTAGTTGGCAGCATTAGCAAAGATTTGCACCTTGTTATCATCGCCTTAGAGATCAATGAAGATAAGCTTTGCTCCAGAATTTCTGATTGAAATGACTCTGCCAGTAATAGCGACAGTCTCTTCCTCAATGAATACGTTGTTTTCAACACATTTTGAGTTGTAGGCAGCGTGGAACTCGTCGAGCTTGTGGGTTCTGTTGAACTTGTGAGGGTATGGGTTCTCATTCTTATCTCTTACTGATTGAATCCATTGCTTTCTGTTTTCAGTGTATTGAGTTGGGTCCATTTCAACTTCCTTTTTCTTTTGATCGGCTGGTTGATCTATTTACTTTTAGTCTTATTTAGCTTTTAGTTTCTCCTCCTTTTCTCTAAGCTTCTCTCTGGTCTTGATTTCACTATGAAAATGATTAATATTTGTTTAAACCCTCTTAATATATGAGTAATTGCTCATGAGTATGCATGCATATGATGAAGTCATACATAGTTGCAATTAGTCAAAAATCATACATTTCGACCAATCTTTATTACTTACTTCTTTGATACGTATTCACCTGAGGGCTCGTCAAGATAAAGGGTCTTGCCGTTTTCTTCCTTGGTTTAGTATTCTTTCTTGTTTTGTTGTCTTTTGTCATTTTTAGTTGCTTCCATTTTAAAATCTAAAGAAAAAGAAAGTCAGGATATTGCGGCTAGATGATTTATATCTTGCTTACCTCCTATTTAGCGAAGAGTATTTATTTATATTATTAATATAATAGATTAAATACTGTCCTAATCGTATTATATAGTTCTCGGGGTTTTGGGGTTTTGGGGTTTTGGGGTTTTGGGGTTTGGGGG